ACTAATCATCATATTTTTTTATTTCTACAAACTGTTTTGGTAAATAAGAATATAAAACATGAAGAGAGAAGATGTCGGGATAATAAGAACTGAATATAAAAGACAGTCAGGGCTGGATTCCCATCTCTGGATCTTGAAGTCACACAATCCGTGGAGCGAAACGAACCTCTCCCCATGGGGTCAGCTCATGGGGTCACACAGAACATTTCTTTGTTTTACTGATTGTGACCTGGCTCCGAACATTGTGACATTAAACCTTATTTACTAAAACCTACATAAGTACACCGCTGAATCTATCTTCTGAGGGCAACCAAATTGCTAGACCAAAATGAGCACTTAACACTTGCTGTGGGCTTGGGCTGTAGGATCACACCTTGCTGTAGGCTTGGGCTGTAGGATCAAACCTTGCTGTGGGTTCAAACCTTGCTGTGGGCTTAGGCTGTGGGATCAAACCTTGCTGTAGGCTTGGGCTGTGGGTTCAAACCTTGCTGTGGGCTTGGGCTGTAGGATCAAACCTTGCTGTGGGCTTGGGCTGTAGGATCAAACCTTGCTGTGGGCTTGGGCTGTGGGTTCAAACCTTGCTGTGGGCTTGGGCTGTGGGATCAAACCTTGCTGTAGGCTTGGGCTGTAGGATGAAACCTTGCTGTAGGCTTGGGCTGTGGGATCAAACCTTGCTGTAGGCTTGGGCTGTAGGATCAAACCTTGCTGTTGGTTCAAACCTTGCTGTGGGCTTAGGCTGTGGGTTCAAACCTTGCTGTGGGCTTGGGCTAAAGGATCAAACCTTGCTGTGGGCTTGGGCTGTGGGATCAAACCTTGCTGTGGGCTTGGGCTGTGGGTTCAAACCTTGCTGTAGGCTTGGGCTGTGGGATCAAACCTTGCTGTAGGCTTGGGCTGTGGGATCAAACCTTGCTGTGGGCTTGGACTGTGGGTTCAAACCTTGCTGTGGGCTTGGACTGTGGGTTCAAACCTTGCTGTGGGCTTTAGGACAAATCTTTTGTGTCTAATGGTAAATGGAGCCCCACATACACATAACAAATAATTTTATTTTGAGATCAACATTGAAAAAAGAAGGGTACATATCAGATATATATTTGCATTTTGGCTCTCGGATTCCCAGGACACTTTAGTAGAATGGAGACAAGAACTGCACAGAGTACAGATAATGATGATTACAGGACAGAGGTGGATACAGAAGGATCTCCCAGATATCATTGACTAGTTGTCGTTCTTGTCTCCATATTAGAAATACTCCAACTCCAATTTTTCATCCTATTTCTTATTCAGCTGGTAAGACACCAAAGACGGACCCTGCTTTGTATAAGGCAGAGGTTCGAACACTTTGAGGTGGACATAATGCTCATCTCCAATGTCAACCTAAAAAGACCAAAAAAAGAAAGTTCACATGAAACAATTACACTTTGAATCTTTTATGATATTTTTATTGTTATTTTATAGAGAAGTGTGATATCAGGAATATCAATTGGAGATACTACGGTGGCTGTTGGTTTCAGGGGTGTGGAAATTAACAACAAAAAAACTACTTGCCCAGGGGCTAAAGCGGGGGCCGAATCTACTTGTCCCAATACAAGAAAATAGTTTAAATGAAAACTACAGATGCACCAATACCGTTTTTTCGGTATCGAGTACGAGTACTGATATTTTGCTTTCGGTACTCGCCGATACCAAATAATGATACCGGTGCTTCTGCTGGCATGGAGCCGTCTTCCGGGACATCAGGAAGCCGGGCAACGGGTAATGACATGCCGCCCGGCTTCCTGGTTGCCAGGGAAGCCAACTCCATGTTGTTTGGCCGGCTTGATTGTGATTGGCCGGGAATCCGGCCGGCAGGTCATTACTTGCCGCTCGGCTTCCTGATTGCACTGGAAGCTGGCTCAATTTTCCCCTACTGCACTGCCGGTCAGAGAAAATCTTCCTCTGACCACAAGTTCCGCTAGCAGGGAAGGTCTCTGAGTATTTGAGCGAGTGCGAGGACTCGCCCAAATACTCTGTATCGGAGAGGCGGGGCCAGATTTGATCGGGTAATTACATTTTCCCATATTATTTGGGAAAGTGAACTTACCCTTTAATGTACATTGTGTGTGTGTAAGAGAGTTCTGCTACCACAATATGGCACACAGTGGAATGGCTGCAGCACTCAACGCACACACAAAATATCCTAAGGGTGCGTTTATTTGCATGCAGATGCACATTTAAAACATTTTTTTTATTTATCACTTTTATTTTTTAATCTTTTATATATTACATTTTTTACTTTTTTCTAACATTTTAATTTATAATTTTTCACTTTTTTTCCCCACTTACTTTGGAGGTGACAGGTTCTCTTTATGGAACCTGCCCTCCAACACAGAACAGATCTGTGCAGATTATCTTTAGCAACCTCCCAATCAGTGGAATGGTACGAGCCACCTGCAGATCCGTGGAGGGGAATTTGAGGGTGGCACGTAGATTTGTGTACTTTACAACCAAGATAAACTCCCACACGATTCCGAGGAACTGCTCCTATAATATTTATATAGCCGGGAATTGAAATGAGATATTCTCACCCAATCTGAACCTGCGGGCTGAGCAATATGCTGTAAATTCACCTGAATTTCCAAAGAAAAATTAGGATATCTAAGCTGCCTCCCCCATAGCGGACAATGTTATGAGAGTTCATGTACCGGATGCAGAGGCGGCTCTAGAGTTTGCGAGGCCTTAGGCGAAACCATATAACCATAGCTACCAGGTTACAAGGAAGAGAAATCTTACACAGGGTTATTCACAAAAGGGTGAAGAGTTTGGAGAAAACCGGAGAAGTGAACAGTCTAGGCCAAAATAGCTGATTTGGAAAACTTCTCCAATTCAGCTCACTTTCCGGTTCAGCTATGTTGTCCTAGATTGTTCACTTCTCCTACCATCTCCAAACTCTTCACCCTTTTGTGAATAGCCCTGACAACAGTCTTAGATTGGTTCACACTATGACACACTGCGCCACAAAGCACACATTTTTATGCTTTTCGGTGTGTAGCATTAGGCAGCCCATTGTAAATGAATGAGTTATATTGCATCTCAACTTACAAAAACTTAGTGCATGCTGCATTTTTTTTTTGCAGTGTACAACAATGCACATCTTGCATTATGGTGCACTGCAGTGTGTAGGGGTGCTATGCAAAATGAATGGCACCCACACGTGCATGGTGCATTTATCACACATTACCACAATGTGCTGGTATAAGCAAGCCCTTAGTATATCATAACAACTGTACATTGAAATGGCAATTACATTTTAATGAATTAGGGCTTGTTTTTGCTACCACACAGTGTCCCGCAATGCACTTGTTTTCATGCATTCAGGCACGTTGAGGCACACTGCAGTGGAAAACATTGGGCAGCCTAATGAAAAATGAAAATTTGGGTCATGCTGAATTTTTGGCAGTGCACATTTTTTAGTCCCAGACCAGAATAAGTATGTAATAAGTGAAGACAGGACTCATGATATTTGTTCATGGACTGAAAGTACTAAAACCAGTAGAGAGTAATATCTGCCAGGCACCTAGGCTTTACAGAAAGAGATCGAAACCCATATACAGTAGATTTCTTCCATTTTAGGGTTCCTTTAAAAGCTGTAGTATATAACGGCCTAATTAAAAACAGCCGTCCCAGGGCATCAGAGATGAAGACACCCAAAAAAGGAGAAAGGCCAATGGCCAAAGTAGATAAGTGGAGCTATAAATATCCTGGGATGGAGCTAGGAGTCCCTGACAGAGACCAGGAAATGCTTGTAGTTTCAACATACCAACATCTACCAAAAACTGAAATATCAGATTTGAGCGCAATGACCTTTTAAAATTATTTGGCAAGTGATGTTTGTTTTTAACATCTACAAATCAGGCCAACCCTAAAGATCTTTGTCACCTGATGAAATCCACAAAGTCTGAACGCCAAAACAATTTATAATGAGGAACCAGATGTGGGAAGGCAGAATGTAGCAATGTGTGAAACTGGGAACGCATTTTTCTCTCTAAATTGTTCTGCAAATGGCTCTTTTCTTAAGGAGAGATCAATGGCTGTGACAGTTCCCGAGCTCATTTCCTCTGAGAACATGGAGCCTGTCCACCTGTATCCAGTCCAGGATTTCCCAAGAGACCTCATTGTCTCTCGGATACTGAGTCTGCTGCTTTCACAAGAATTGACAAAGGACCTGTGATAAACGGTGAGGAAATGTTGTCCCTTGAGGTGGCTTTTAACCTCAGGCAGGATGGTAATTGTTCAACCTGCAACTAAGTCCAACAGAGAAGTGTGTTGCCAATTGCATTGCATTCAACTACAAGATTTTGGCAACGCGTGAATCTGAACCTGAGGAAGAATGAAGCTGAGCATACAATGAGATTGATTTATGGGAAGTGAAAGAAAAAAAAGGCCTTCAATGACACAAAGCCAGGGCAGAGGGGCTTCATTAATGAGATGTGAAGGATCAGGCCTGAAGGTGTTAAGAAAGAGATTAGATGGGGTGAAATGTGAAGGGGTCTTACCTTAATGGCTGTCAGGGGCCAAGTATAACATGAGGCCATGTGGATAACTTGCTGAGCATATTTGGAAGGCAGGCAGGAGCATGTGGCCATAGGAACATGTTGTCCCATTTGCCCACCCACTTTATTTGGCAGAAGGAGCAATATGTCACAGGAGCTTGGCTAGTAAGTGGTCTTTGCAGAAGATGTACAGGCTAAGCCAGTTATGAAAAAAGTGGGCCATTGGTTGGTATGGGGTATTTCACTAGGCTCGCAAAGTATTGTTTAAAAGTGAACCTGCACTATGTTCATTCAGCAACAAGTTTGCTTTAACCCCTTGTTGGGATTTTACTTTGAGGAGGTTTGGGGACTGTAACTGGCTCACAGCACTCCTCCAACCATTGTCCCTATGCCACTGGTGTATGCTTTACTATGCAAACCATAATGTATTTTGCTTTAATTTCAGGGCTGACAAAAGACTCATGCATCAACTTACCACATTATCATAGTCACAAGTTTCATGACAATCTCATTGAGGATGTTGAAGAAATCAACCATCAGCCGTGCCTGTTCCCCCATCTTTCCCATTGCAATGCCAAACGCTATGAAGAAACCAATCACACCTGCAGGCAGATAACACTTTGGGTCAGTCATTGGTCTGCAATAAAATATGGCAGTTTCCTCTTTCTGGAAACCCTGATTTAAATCTCCTGGGAGAAACTGATAGCATAAAAAAATATCAATTCAATTAAAGATTTATTTTGTGTCAGGAGCCTGGTGATCAGGGAGGACTATGATGTGTGGTAGGGAAGCATCTGACCCTTGGGCAAATACTAAAAACATCTGTTCGGTTGGTGGCCCTGAGTGAACATATTTTACCATTCAGACATTACTCAGAGAGGAACCCCCAGTTATTGGCACATGCACAATATGGTAGATGGTCATTATGTAGCTACCTCAGCTCCTCCTCATTTAGACCTGCGATCACAGAATCTGGGAGAGGGAAGTCTTCCAACCTCAACTTTTTTTGCACCTTTGAGATGTCATGTGACTAAATGCCGATACCTGCAAAGGAATCTGATGCAAGAAGATGTCTCTTAAGGTGTCCCACAGTAAACCATGTCCTTTAGGCCCCAGCACCATGTCTAATTCTTCCCAGCTGGTGATGGTCATTATTTCTGAGAGGCTCCTGTCACTCAGGGCTACTGTGAATACTGCAGCTGCCCAGTAATTTACTAAGAAAGTATCCTGTGGAGTAAAGCATGCCTAAAATGTAACCCCCCCCCAACACACATCTGAACACTTCATACTTAACCTAAATCCTAGGGGGGCTTAAAGCTGAACTCCAGGCAGACACAGAAGACACACATTATTGCAGCTCTATCCATGAATACATCCTTGAATTTATTTTTTTACATGCAAGGAAATTAGCTTATGCCAAACGGTATCATTACTCAGGTGTGCCTAGAGCAGCATGATGTCTAAATGGAGCCCTGTGTGAATTATATAAATGACTACAACTTAAAGGAGAACTATGAGATGATTTCCACTCACCTCACAGTTCTAAGCCGACCTGTGACAATGAGACTGTCACAGGTCGGCTCAGTAGATCGGGAGGTGAGGGAACACATACCGGGTTCCCTCACCTCTCGATCCTGTCACGGCTCTCTGCCGTGACAGG